GAATCTAAATTGGCTTTAAGGACTTGGGGAAAATATTGAGGGAGACTCACAATATCCTTGAGGTTATGCAAGCCTATGCTATCTCCTTTTAAATGTAAATACAAAAAGAAATTGTGAGCTGGAGTGCAAAGGGATTGAAAAGAAAGCTGAGCAGAGGTCAACTACTATAAACAAGGCTGCATTAGCAGGAAGTGAGGTGAGAATGGTGCCCAGATTTGGGACTATAAGATGCCAAGGAATTACAAGAGTTTATCGCTCTTAGGTCCTGTACAAATCAAGAAATTTGATTCCTAGCTGAACCAGCAAGATTGAACTGTTATAGGGTAAGAAAATAAAAATCAATAAACCCTGTTTTAAGAGGAAGTCTATTACAGGGTTAATACCTTGTTTTGTATATATAATCATTTGATTATACAGACTTTTCAGCTCTGAGTTAACACTCTGGAAAGGGGAACCAGGTGGTTTCCAGGTGTAGCAAGGAAACCTTTCACAGGGAGATTTATTTCCAGCATTCAAGGTGACAAGGGCGGGGCAAGGTGCCCTTCAGGCTTGTCAAGTAAATTTAATTCCAAGTAATCAATATGCCACTGTGGGATATTTGGGGCCCCAACACATTTTACAGAGCTTGTTGCCATGATGAAAGGGAACATATTCTCATTATATCTTAAAACTATTTATTTTTTTTGCTTAAATATGGGAAACTTTAATTTTTGGATATCTGGAGGTATTTGCTAATTTCACGTTAATTCTAAGATGAGATTCCTTAGCTTTTAACTTGGGCAATCATATCATCTACAGTAATGAGAACAGGCTTATCCAATAGTTATAGCTCATTCTAGTTTGGGTCTTATTGCATCAAAAAATATTAAATCAGTATCTGATAACAAGCCCTGAAAAGTTTAAGATAGCACATGTTTAAAATTCTTGCCCTGACCAGTGTGGCTCAGTTGGTTGGGCATCACCCAGTGCATCAGGAGGTTGCCAGTTTGATTCCTGGTCAGGGCACATGCCCAGGTTGTGGACTCTGTCCCTGGTGGGGTGTATGCAGGAGGCAGCCAATCAATGTTGCACTTTCACATTGATGTTTCTCTCTCTCCCTTCCCTTCCTCTCTCTAAAAAGTCAGTAAGCTATTCTTAAAAAAAAAAAAAAAAATTATTTGACAAGCAGGCTTATAAGATATATAAAGCTCTCAAGCTTCTGAGAAAGATCTGAGATCAATTTTGCTACTTTCTAGACTGTTTTATCTAAAAGGGAGCTAAAGAAGGGTTTTAGCAGGTGAGGTGAGAGGACTTTGGAGAAGGGACTCAGTATTTGGTGGGGAGGGGCTTCCCTTTTCCCTCAACTGCACCCTGCACATACAAACCATAGCAAGTAGCAGATCTTGTTAGTATTTGTGGACACTGAATAGAAAATCTGCCGGAAAACTGCCCTCCTTGCTCAGCAGACAAACTAAAAGTTAGCAATGTCCTAGAAGACAATGCTGGCTATTAAACTGCCTTCTTCTCCAGCCTCTTGCTAAGTCTTTTTGCATAATCTGTGCTGTTATTTTCTGCCCTTGCCATACCCTCTCCCCATCAGACATTTCTTCCTGGAGAATTAATCTTGTATTTTTAATTACTACTCATACACAACACCACATAAACTACTAAATTTAATATTTGAGTGCTGGTAGCCAGCGAAAAAAGAATAATCTGTGGAGAGAAGGCATTGGTTTGGAATGGCTGATTTTAATGGTGGTATATGACATATTCCAAATGCATTTGGTCACGACCACATTCAAAAGAGTAAAACTTCACAGTAACCATGTTTACCATGAAACAGTGTCGCATTTATTTTATGTTTAACATAATGAGAAATGATTTTTATTTTTCTAAGCAACTGGAAAAGTCCAGTTCAGCTGATCCTACAAATGAAATAAACTAAAAACACGACCTTCTCCACCCCATAAACTACAAAAGAAAACCCATTTATGTGAATTATACTTGATGAATGACATGAATACACATTTAGAGACAAGTAATGCTTCACATTCACAAGGCTGAGTGGCTGTTTACCATTGTCTGGGAAGAGCCTAGGTAATTGTCTATAAAAGAAAGAAACATTTTTGTCAGCTTGTCCTTAATAAGTAATATTGAAACTTTTTGCAGTACTTTATTAACTAGAATAATGCTTCCATCAAAAAATTGCAGTTTGTTTAGGGATTCATTTGTGAATGATTTCTAATAATCCCCTACAAAAGATCTTAAATGACAGTAAAAAGAAATTAGTGTTTAATAACTGACATATGAAACAATTTAAATAATTTACTTTCCCAAAGTACCTGTGTTTTGCACCTCCTGTTAATCCTCACCTGAGGATATTTTTTCCATTGATTTTTAGAGTGAAAGGGAGGGAGAGAGGGGCAGAGAGAGAGAGAGAAACATCGATGTGAGAGAGACACATCAATTGGTTGCCTCCCACACAAGCCCCAACAGGGGCTGGGGATGGAACCTTCAACCCAGGTACATGTCCTTGACTGGGAATCGAACCCACAAGCTTGGGTGCATGGGCCAACGTTTGAAACCAATTTTTTGATTCTTCAAATTGCTTTTCTTGGGAGTATAAATTTCATTTGCTTTAGGTTAAGCTGAAAGGTATAAAAGTAAGAGTCCTGATAAAATGTAAATCAGATACAATCACACTACAATAAGAGTGTTGAGGTGAATGATAACGGGATATTTATAAATTTTAAAAACTTCAAAAATTTTTTAATTTTGCTAAATTAAAAAAATCTATACAATTAAAGCAAAGGAAGTATAATATTAACCATCAGCGACTCCAGGTGAGGGTTATATGGCATTCTCTGTATTATTGCTTATTGCTTTTTTTTAAAAAAAAAATCATCACCGGATGATATGTTTATTGATTTGAGAGAGAGGAACGGGAGGAGAGAGAGAAAGGAACATCAATGTGAGAGAAAAACATGGATCAGCTGCTTCTGATCCATGCCCCAACCAGGGATCAAACCCGCAACCTAGGTATGTGCCCTGATTAGGAATCAAACCCTCAACCTTTTTGGTGCCCTGTACTATTGCTTTTAACTCTCCTATTAGTTTGCAAGTTTTTAAAATAAAAATGAAAAAAATATATGTCCATAAAACAGGACACCATGAATTAAGTAAAAATAAAAGATAGAGACGCAAAGTATGTGTCACTGAATATCACTGGTTTTAGAGTAAAAAAAAGGCCCTATCTGAAAGATAAAATCTTTCTCCTGAAAGAGAATGGGAGAAACATTTGACATGCAGTAAAAGAACAAGCTGGGTTTCAAAGGAACAGAGATGGAGCCCTCTGCACATAACACCCTCGTTGACGTCATCACTTGAGTTTCAAAGCTGCCATCTCATATAATGCAAAACACAACAGTCCACTGACTGGCACGTTTACAAATGATAAAGTTTTAAAAAACGTGAAACCTTCGTTCAGGAGGGTCAGTATAACAAACTTCTCCATAAAAAAAAAATGTTTTCTAACTTTGAGAAATAAAACTGTTTTCTCAGTTGAAGGCCTGAAAACTGTCTGACATTATGAATTTCTTATGTACTACTTAAGTTGGCAATGCTTTAAAAAATAAAGTATGTGGTTCTGATTCTTCTTTAAAGACTCAGTGTCTTGGCTAAATGATAGAGCTTCCCACTTCCTGTTAGATCTTTGGCTGAACAGTATCAGCTTAGCAGAAGAGCAAGTTTTTTACAAAACAGAAAATCTTCATTGACTTTTGAGATGAGACGGCACAATAGCAACCTCAGATGATCTGTCTCTTGGTGAAAAAGGTAGAGTAAAAACCGTGTGCTCTGAATAATACCAATACATGTACTGAAATAATCTGCCGCTATTATAATCTAACACTGCTTTTCAGATTCCCGGGCCTTCCTCACAGGGCCTGAGAAAGAAACTCGCAACCCCAGGGCTAACGAGAAGCCAATGGGCAAGTAACACGAGGAAGCAGGGACAATGGAAGCCGCTTATTCTCAAATGGAGACACAGGTGACACTAGGAGGCAAGACCCTGGGAAGATGGACACAAAGAGCAACAGTATTAATTTCTGGGGGCAGTGCCAACTGCTGGTTTTTAACACTCATCATGGGCCTCAGAAATTGTCTAAATATCACTCCTC